TCCTGCCGCTTGCAGAAGTGTTGTCGATATACCTTTTTTCTATTTGTCAAATTATTTTATGTAATATTTGTTACAATAATTACAATTTATAGTAGTTCTTATCATTTCATAACCAATCTTTGTTCTGACACCAGTATTAGGTACTGAAATCGTACACAAATTGTCACAAACACACTGACTGTTGGACATTTACACGTGCCTTGGTGATTTACTACTGTCTTGGAATATATACAAAGTATTTATAGGCCCCAGCAATGTTTTGGATATGTGGAAGTATATAATAATATGATGATGATGGATGGAGATGATTGATGATGATGATGATGATGATTGATGATGATGATGATGGATTGATGATACATAATAAGTTCACTTGAAGCATGTAAAACAAGCCTCAGTCCACCCCTGACAGTGAAGTGATGAGATAACATAAGATAAGAGTGTGTTGGCCCTCGTTTTGTTTTCGCTGGTACACAAACCATGTCTGTCTATCTATCTATCTGGCTCTCTGTCTCAGAGAGAGCCACAAGACTACGTCATCATATTTACTCATATCTTCAAGGAGAGTATAGCACTTTGTCTGGATTTTTTGAGTTATCCAACGTAATTTACACTATGTATACTTGTATTTGTGTACCTGTGAGACAGGGATAGAGACGGATAGAAAGAGATAGACAGAGAGAGAGACAGATAGAGATAGACAGACACAGGCAAACAAGCGGAGCCAGGCCGCCAGCAGCTAGCTGGCCAGCCATGCAGCTGGCCAGCCAATCAGCCAGCCTGCTGAACAAGTTTATCGTTCCAGAATTGTTTCTCTTTATTTAGGGCATAGGTTATAAGACATTCTGAAAGGGTGTTGCACAAATGTTGCACATGGGTTATTATCAAGGTTTTTTGATATTTCCTTGACCACTTATGGCCACGTCCACCTCAAAGCCACTAAACTCAGGGTCAACATCACTTTCCTCTTAAAATGGGAGAGTTAATACTACATGAAATCAGTGAATCCCAGGTGTTTGCCATGATGTTTGCTTTAGCTGGTGCTCATTTGAACTGGTGCTCCCACAAGGTACTAAGTGGTCCCAGATTTTTTTAATACAGTGCACACTGAGTGTTAAGAATCATTCTATGCTAACAAGGCATCTCAGGCCAATCGTGCCATATTTGAAGGCAGGAAAAATAAAACGTTTATATACATTTGGGGCAGTAGCAGTGAGAACGTATATATACATTTGGACTGTTTACGAGTTAAGAGTGGCTCATGTGTGGTGGATATAGCGAGGGCCTATGGCCTTAATGAAGCGTCAGTTCGTACAATTAAAAAGAACAAAGCAAATATACGAGCTTGTGTAATGAATAACCTAAGATGTCACCTCATGAGAAGAATGACACAGATCACAGCAAGTAAATAAAACTGAAAACTTGTTGCTTGAGTGGATCGCACAAAAGACAAAGAAAGGTGCACCACTTAATTTCATCTTAATTAGGGAAATGGCCTTACATTTGTTTAAAGCAGGGTGTGATAAGGAAGGCAGGCCTGAAAAAGTGTGTGTGTTTAGCACAGGCTGGTTCCACAACTTTAAGTTACATAATAAGTTACATAACATTAAGTTTTCTGATGAAAGTGCTTCAGCTGATCATACAGCAGCAAGTAATTTCCCTGCTGAATTGCAGGAAATTATTTCTGAGGGTGGCTATGAGCCACATCAAGTGTTTTATGCTGACGAGACAAGTGTTTTTTGGAAAAAAGAAAAATGCCAACAAGAACTTATATCAGTCAGCAAGTGAAAAGTACCCTGGGCTTCAAGGCAGCAAAGGTCATTTACAGCTCTAAGAATCCTCATGCTTTGAAAGGTGTCGATAAAAACACCTTACTAGTAATTTGGAGGTCAAACCAGTCAGCATGGATGATAGAGGAAATATTTATTGACTGGTTTAAGCATCACTTTATTCATGAAGTCAAGTTTTACCTGCACAGCAAGAACCTTGCATTCAAGGCTCTCTTCATTCTTGATAATTCCCTTACTCATCCACAAACTTTGCTGGATGTGACCCACAGTAAAAGTTAAAACCCCC